TGTTCATCTTGCTGCTAAACATTCTACAGAAAACGTTCATCCTAAGGCAACATCTCCTTCCCTCCTCCCCGCCCTCCCTTTGCCCCCTCCCCCACCCGCCCGCTTAGCCTTGGCCTTGGAAAGTGTACACACCCAACACACCACCAGACAGGTAGAATGTACACACCTACAATACTGCTGGGCAGGTACAGCGTACCATTCGGTTAAGAGGATGCTACTCTTCAGAAGAATGCCACGGCTGCCCTGCTGGCTCAGTCTCCAAAGATTTTATTTTGTGCATTCGGGCCTGGGTTCTCCAAACACTGCAAATAACATTTCCTTTCTTTTTTGTTGTAATGCGCACTCTCCGCTGTGCCAGATTCAATTTGCTTTGAAGCCCGGTGATATGAACCCGGCTGCTTGTTGCGCCTCCGTTCGTTTGGGCTGTCAAGTCGACTCGGTTAACCCGGCGCTGATTGATCGGCTGAATTCACGCCGCGACGCCGGGACATGTGCACACCTGCGTTCGGCGGGGGGCGGGGGGGGGGCGGGGGCGAGGGTGGGCGGGGGGGCGAGGGGGTGGGCAGGACGCGGAGGCGAGCACCGCCCGGGGGGAAATTTTCTTACCAGACACTGACCGGCGCGGACGCAGCGTAAGTTACGCACTGTGTGCAAATGCGCTCCTGGGCGAACTCTGGCTTGGAGGCGGCGTTGCGCATCTGGCCGCGTTCGGACGGAAAAGTCCCCGTACGCAGTGGAGTGCGTGCGGGCGGACCCTATCCTGACGGTGCTGACGGGGACAAGCGTGACAGTCTCTCTCTCTCTCCTCTCTCTCTCTCTCTCTCTCTCTCTCTCTCTCTCTCTCTCTCTCTCTTCTCTCTCTCTCTCTCTCTCTCTCTCTCTCTCTCTCTCTCTCTCTCTCTCTCGCCTTAGTCGATGTGTGTGTGTGTATAAACATGTATGTGTATGTTCGCATATATATATATATATATATATATATATATATATATATATAATATATATATATGTGTGTGTGTGTGTGTGTGTGTGTGGTGTGTGTGTGTGTGTGTGTGTGTGTGTGTGTGTGTGTGTGTGTGTATGCATATATATGCATTTTCGGATATGGTTTTTATGATGTAAATTTGTGTGTTGTTATTTCGCGGCTTATACGTGGCTTTTTTTACAGTAAGTCCAAAAATTCTTAAACATGGTACCTGTCGGTACAGAAAGCATGAGCTCGCGCCGCCCTCGTGACTGCAGGTATATAGTTCAGTGGCTGCAACAACTAATTGTTCGAGTTTTCGTGATGGCTTCTTGACCCCGCCGCGCCGGGGTCAAGATCACGGACGCATCGTGTAATCCGCGTCGCCGCCGAATCGCGCGTCCCGCCGATTCCACGCTGCCGCGGCTTTCCTTCCCTCCGAAGCGGACAGCCGATCTCCTCTCCGGTCCCAATGAGGCGCCAAGTCCGACTTGCGACGCGATGCATTTTACAGTTTTCGCCATAACAATGGAGGAGACTTATAAGGGGAAAATGTTGGAGGCGAGGTTGGCAACACTGGTGGCAGTAGGAGGGCACTTCTAGGCTTCCTCCGCGGGAAGCGTTCCACTGCGTTTCGACCGGGTCCAGATTGCTGCGTCTGTCGGGTGTAGCCGGCTCCGTCTGTCCTCTCAGTTATGTTAATATTCCATCTAGATTAAATTCGGAAGATGCTATAGGATCGTGGGGATTCGGGTGAGGATATCGCCGAGACCATCAGCGTCCGCACTGTTGCCAGACAGGGAGGCGTCATTTCTATTCTCGGAGTAGCCTTACACTCCTGCACCGCCGCAGGCTTTAGTGTTTACACGCAGGAAGTGATATCAGCTAGAGATCGTAATACACGGAATTTTCACCAAAAAGTGCCATTAACATCGAACTGGCGAGTGGCTCAAGAGACAGGAAACGTTACAAAAGCGCCCATCGAGAGTTAGAAATGCTGACTTTACTGTCATATCTGTAAAATACGTTGTGTCATGCTTTATCTGTAATTTATGATCACTGAAATATTTCTATGCGCAGGTAAATTCACTGCTTCCCTGGAGAGCGTCTTCATCTACACATCTAACTTTATTCGTATTCATCTATGCATCAAAGATCCATATGCATATAGATGTGCAGTAATGTACAGGCAAGTGTAGTGTGCTTTATTTTATACAAAATAAATATGCGTGAGAGAGAGAGAGAGAGAGAGAGAGAGAGAGAGAGAGAGAGAGAGAGAGAGAGAGAGAGAGAGAGAGAGAGAGAGAGAGAGAGAGAGAGAGAGAGAGAGAGAGAGAGAGAAGAGAGAGAGAGAGAGAGAGAGAGAGAGAGAGAGAGAGAGAGAGAGAGAGAGAGAGAGAGAGAGAGAGAGAGAGAGAGAGAGAGAGAGCGAATGAACCTATTAATACACATACTGACTAGATAGAAAAGAAAACAATATCGTATCGCATCAGACGAAAAGAATGCATTCATTACAAAATAAATATCCCCAAAATCCATTCCCAACATCTGAAGAACAAGAGCCTCTAAATCATTTTCCATTTCAGTTTCCACAGATTTGTAAAGATTTATCGGTCGGTTTTGCCCCAAGGCCCCACACACTGCCTTGCCCCACCTGTCCTTGGCAGCTCGGTTCTCCATGCTTTAAATATTCATCCTTATACATCTTTCCATAGAGGCCCTTTTTGAAAATCTAAGAACTCTAAATAGAGAACCGTATGGGTTATAATTTATGTTATATGCGTATAACTTATGAAAGGAAGAAAAACTCTTCGCAATCTAGTCTGAAAGGTGTAGGCTGGTGGCCCTGGTAGTTTATTATTTAAACGGTCCATTAAGGTTATCTTTTATCTTGACAGATATGATGAGGTGAAAGACAAGGGAGCGATTTCGACCTATGGAAAGTGACAGCAAATATGGCTCTTACGGTCATATGCGCAAGGCTCAAATTCCATACGCTCAGTGCAGAGAACGAGACACAAAAGGGACCTACCGACGTACGACTTTCTTAGCAAGAGGACATTTACCGCAGCTACAAGAAAATTTCAAGGTGATGGCATCCCATTTTCCTTGAACCTCACACGCGAAAGGGGGGACGAAGGGAAATTACCGAGACGGCGACAATCTCCCTCTTTCCTCCGTGATCAAACTTTCCAGGTCGGAAACATCGGTGAATTTAGCACGCCGATTGTGCAATAAAAGCAAAAAAGTGGATTGCGAATATTGGCAACGGAGAGGGGAACACTATAGAGAAAATTGGTGCTGTGACACTAGAGAATAATCCTCCATAAATCACCTTGGTAACAACGCTGTTTTTTGCGGCCGTAATCCCTCCTGATCCCTGACACAGCGCCGCCGTAGAACCCCTCGCCACCATTATTCTCAAGGAGCAAAATCGCGGGCAATTACAATAAGGGCGAGTTCTCCTTGTCCGCGTGAAAAATGATGAGGTGATCAGCGTTTCTCGAATGTATTTGTATAATAACCTTCCCATTATTTTTTCTCTCAACATTTTCTCCCCTCTGCCTAAGGAACTTCCTTTTTTTATCTAACCTCTCCAGACGCCGGGAAGTTTGTGGTTGTCTATATTAAGGCCACGTTGCCATTTCCGACGGCCGAAATCGGGGAGGAATTTCGTGTCTTCTTTCGCTCGGTTACTCACAATTATTTTGACTCCGGGAGGAAGTGTCTCGCGGACTTCGCCCTCGGAGCACGAAGCGGCGGGGGAGACTTCGATCACCTGGCAACGCCTCATGAACTCCAGACCAAAGTGTCATTACCTGAGCAAAATGAATCGACAAGTGTTCACGAGCCTCCTTCAACATTCGTCGCTTCCACGTTTTCAATGCATTTCAAATATATTTCCTGCCTATTATCAAGCTTTGCAAATAAATCAACACCGACACCAAAAGCGCAAAGCCGTCGCAGCAACCACTCTTCCCACTCCACGACGCGAAGGCATGAGTTCTGGGGTCGGCCTTCTACGGCATAAGAGATCCCATTACCGTAAAGCAGGCGTCTCGGCGGGACCGGCAGCCGGGGGGAGAGTGTATCCGACGGAGCCCTAGGAGTGAAACGTCGGAACTGCTCCACTAATATGTCTAAACGCAGGGAAGGGCGTTAGTACCGACAAATAAGCAGCGTTATCATCTCAGGTTGCGGAGAATTTCCGAGTTTAATCGAGAGCGCTGTGAAAACCGTAAATATTATGCTAATTAGCGCAATGCTACTTTCATTTGAATATCTGGTTCCTACGCGAGATGCCCTCGCTCCTTTCACTGATATTCACATACGAAAAAATCCTTTTAATTTTGGCTCAAGTTCTGAGTGCAATATAGGTGAATACATTAGCATTACCAAGGAAGGCGCTAGATTCCAGGCGGAAATAGAAGCCCCTCCATTACGTTTTTTTACGTATATTCTGTCTCGGATTGTCGGAAGATGAATAGGAAATACTTGGATGACGACGGAGTTTCAAGGCTCTCGCCAATCTATGATGACTCGTATTTGAAACAAGCTGCAATTACCCACTTTACATTTAAATTGGCTTTAGCACTCACATGCCTTCGGTTGTTTGTATAGACTGCGCCACTGATCAAGCCAGAGGAAATGGCAGACCTGAGATAACTGATCTTTTGCATTTCCGCTTTTCTGGCTTTTTGCTCGAGTTTTTGCGTTCCATAACTACTGCACTTTAATTTCATAATATTTCCAGACTTCCTGGATATCACGTGCCTGCTGGTGGACTGGCCTTGACTTCTGACAAAAATTGCTCGCCAACATTTTTGAGGTTTGATGATCACGCTAAGTCGTTCACCACAAAATTTCCTTCAAAGGTGCCACTCCTGCATCCTCAGCAGGATTCTTTAACAATGAACATGAAGTCCGGCAAACCACTTGCAGCCAACGAACTTGAATTACGTCTAGCTTTTCACCACAGCAGCGTGCCTAGCATGAATTCGCTATGGCTGCTAGAAAATAAATTTCGAATGGTACTTACAGTTGACATGGAGAGTGACAGATTGGGTGACATCTTTCTGCAAGGCAGTGTTCTTCGCTTGGCACGAGTAAGTGAGACCATCGTCGGCCGCTGTTAGGTTGAGCGCTAACACGTTCGTCACTCGTGTGCCTGAAACACAAGGGAAACATTACAAAAGTGAAAACTGGTTCTGCTTAACTTTAAGAATTCATGGGGCCAAGCAAAGGCAAGGAAGAGGAGTTGCGGAAAAGAAAATGGACGGGGGGGGGGGTTGAAATGAAAATAGGAGAGAGAGAGAGAGAGAGAGAGAGAGAGAGAGAGAGAGAGAGAGAGAGAGAGAGAGAGAGAGAGAGAGAGAGAGAGAGAGAGAGAGAGAGAGAGAGAGAGAGAGAGAAGGGGGAGAGGGGGGGGGGGGAGGAGAGAGAAAAAAAAATAGGATAATCTTTTCCATTTCATTAAATAATAGCAGTACATCCAAAGCAAAGGTTTTACATTATTCGAACCACATATTCCCTCCTAAATGACGTCTACATTTCCCGTCTGAGGATCGGAGAGTGAAAGGCCGATCCCCGCTTTGTTTCTTGGCACACAAGACGGTCGCGCGTTCTTATGTCCGCAGCTTACGCAGAGGACAGGGGCGCTATCGGAAACCTTTAGAGCCTCCATTACTGACCTCCATTAAGGCTGGAAGAGGTCTCCTGCAGGCGGCCTGCCATCCTGTAGTCGCCCCTAAACCAGGTGATGGTGGCGGCCGGGTTGGAGGGCCCCGACTCGCAGGTGAGGATGGCCTGGCTGCCCGCACTCAGGCGCCGCGGACTCTGGCTGATCTGCAACGGAAGGGGTCAGCGGTCATGCTCTTGCTAATGGCTACGTGTGAGGAGAAACATATTCTGGTCCAGATTAATCCATATATGACAAGAACTATGCACACACAGAGCTTCCTTGTGTATGTTATTATTATTTTTAAGCATCACGCTTCTTGTGACTCTTCCCGACAGAGGTTCTCACCTTGACGGTCTCCGGCGGGAAGAAGACGACGAGCGTCGTGGAGACGCTGACAGGCGACGAGGCGGCGCTGTTGTGCGCCTCGCAGCGGTACTGCGCCCCGTTGTCCTGCGGCTCCGCCACGATCTCGATCTCGGCCGAGCTAACGTCATCGATGCTGTGCTTCCTGGAAGGGATCTTCTGGCCGTCTCGGTACCACTGCAGGTGTGCTGGGGGGTTGCCGCCCCTCGAGACGCAGGTTATCCGCTGCTGGCTGCCCACGCGGATGCCCGAGCCTTCGCTGTACCCGTGCAAAACCGGCGGTAGAGGCGGGC